AGGAGGGAATCGAATAGAAATGAAAAGACAACAACAAAAATTTTAGTTAATTTATTGAAGTTTAGCTGTTTCGAGTATTGCCAAGTACTCATCATCAGCGGTCTAAGGAAATATTCGAATTTTTTTGTTTAGTTAGTTTAAACTAAAGAGTCAGAATCTTTAGTTTAGCATATACATATATATTTACGGACCTATTCTGTGCACTTGACAGATTTGTCAAATTCTTTAATAAAATTTTTGATTTTTATAAAGCAGAAAGCTTTTCGGTATTCTGGACACATCTTGACAAATTTCAAAGCTCAAGTACCTAATGCTTCTCACCACACTATGGTATAAAGTGTTTTGTTTAGAAAACTGTTCGTAATTGTTCGTAACTGTTCGTAAAAATGCTTGTAAAGAGCACATATTTTAAGTTGCCAAAAGTATTTTTCATGCATTCAAATAACAATAAAAAATATGGTTGTTAAAGAGCGTATCTTTTAGAATATTTGTCATACATGCAAAATAAAAAATGCTTTAAAAGAGCATATTTTTATAGTTGTCAACAGCATTTGTAGTATTGACAACTAACAAGGAAAAGAGCTTTTTATTTATGTCACAGAATACCAAAACCTTTACAGCAGTCAATTTTGACAAGTGTCAATGTTTGATAAGTTTATAAAGTGCGTAGAATAGGTCCGTTAGAATCTTTACAAGCACATATTTTTGTACAAGTGTTGTTTAACATTAAATATGTTAAAATTAATCTCGATAACAGGCTAAATATTGTTAGAAATAATTCCTTTTTATAATCTATACACAACTAATATTCTATAACATTGATAGTGCTCCATCAACCTCGGAATAATGTGGTAATAGCAACATTTGATACATTTCTGCGTTTCCAACATCTCCAACCAAAACTACTTGATCGAAGCAAGAGACCCTACAACATAACATAACATCTGATAAATGGCGTTTTCGATTGGTAAAACTGGATTCACTTTAGATTTATACTCTGTCTGTCAAATTTTTTTTCCCAATCAAACATTTTTGTAGTAGTATAGATAGCCATTTAAATATTTCATGAATACTTTGCCTGTCAAATAATATTAAACAGCTATTGTTGTTATGTTGTTACTCTGGCAAAATATCTAGAGTTATAAATTAATCTCGAGTATTATATACTTCGCTGGAGACTTACCAATCGAAAATGAAAATTGCATTTAAAGTGAATCTCGATTGAAAAAATTACCATAGATTTACCAATCGAAAACGGCATAAGACAATAACCTATCATCTAACTCCGAAACTGCTGTGCAATAATAGCGCGATTTTACATGATGACATTATAAATGGTTATTAATAAAAGCAACAAAAAAAATGAAACCGATATGCTTGCATTAAATTTCAATAAATTAAATTTCAAAAATTTCAATTCAATAAAGAACCTTCATGGTGTCTACAACGCAACATATATCTTTTATAACAGATCTACAAGCCTGTTTCTGGATGCAAACAATGCAATTTATAGTCCAAACTACCGACTTTTATACCAAAGCTTATTTTACGAACTGTCTTCATATCATCTATTTATTTCTTAGTATTTATGCTATTATAAAAAAAGCAAAAATTTAACTATTTAAACCATTTAAGGTTCAGGGGCTTGACATATAAAGTGTGCAAGATTTGTACATTCATTGTTATTCATACCATATTCACTATTTCTTATCATTAAATGAACGCAATGTTCATTACCCATAAAATTATTCGGTTCACCAGCACTCCATTTAGCATATGTCATTCTTCTACCATTACTAATCCAATAGAAATTTCCGTGTTTAGCTAAATCATTACCAGCGATCCAATAAAAATTTCCGTATTCTTTACACAGCAAATAATTTGATAATGAATTTATTTGGTCGTCATATCTTATTGTAGCTAAATTCGCACCCATTCTGCGACATGTATCAACTGCTTTATGCCAATTAACCTGTAAGTTATTAAAATTATTATATAGAGATACACAAGATTGTATATATTTGATATGAATTTACCACATTTGTTTGTTCTATATAATAGTAGTAGTGGCCAATTTTCGTAAAGGATTCAAAGCGTTGCTCTCCTAAGCAAGTATCTACATGGAATAAGTGAATTATATTTATTTAGGATTCCATGGGCTTATATAGATGTACTTCTTACCATCGGTTTTAGAAAATCCGAAAAATATATTGAGTAGAAGAATACACAAAGCTATTTGCATTGAAATCATTTTGACCTTAAAAATTTAAATAATTAAAAACCCATATTCAGAATGTATTTATACTAACTGATCCGATTTCTTTGAGGATTTATATAATTATTATGAACGGATTACTCTTTATGGGTTAATGCGAGTGGAAAGAAAGCACTAATTGAAATAAAAATATTTATCAGTTTTGAAAGTAAAACACAATAATATATTCCATTTTCATTTTTAACTTTAAACAATAATTGCTATTGCGATAATTATTGAAATATCACGAGTATCTGATATTTCCATATTTTCTTATTAACAAACTCGTTAGTTGTTATAAATAACTACTTTATGGTGATTTTTGATGTATTCATATTTTTGAAATATTTAAATATATTATTCTTCTGAACTGACACAATGTGAAACGTGATTCCGAAAAAGAAAGAAATCGGATCTATTATAATTATTTAACACACGACATTAACCTTCAGTAGCAAATCTTACAATTGTGGGAAAGATTTTTTGTGTATTTATCTTTTTAATACGCAATATTCAGTATATATTAAGGATGCATCTTATACGATTTTTTCATTTCAATCAAAAGAATCACTTCTCCAATTAATAGCACTTTGTCAGAAAACGTAAAAAACATACAAAAATATTGTTTAATGACCCTTTAAGGGCTGTAATAATCATTCCTGAATAATTATACTAATTCAGTGTTAGTGCAAAAAAAAATTTTCATTTCACCACCCGGTGCTGTTAGATAGCCGTCGCTCTCTCTGAGAGAGAAAACTATATTCCAACGTGTGATAAGTGTGTTAAGAACACCGTGGTATTAAGTCTTGGTTGCAGTTGATCGGATAAGAAACTATAGGCTCTGTGGATTTAAAATTTTTTTCAGTACTGTACTTCTATTCTGAAATTCTATTTGTTAGGAAAAGTTAAGAGGACTTGTGTTAGTGTAAGAGTTAACATTTCCATGCGAGGAAATGTATTGTCCTTAATCTGCTCTAAGAAGATATGTTAACGAACTATGCTAATGTTTTAAACTTGTAACTAGTCTTATCGAAGTAAAACTTATTTATAATTGTTTAATAATTGTAGTTTTTTAATGAAAATTTGTTTTTTGCAATTTTTACATTTATGCAATTAAAAAAACGTATAAATTTTGATTTCTTCACCTTTTAAGGTTCAGGGGCTTGACATATAAAGTATAGTAACCTTGAACAATCATTATCATTCATGGTATATCCACCAGTTGGCTCCTGTAGATGAACGCAATGTTCGTTACCACCAAAATTATTTGGTTCGCCAGGAGTCCATTTAGCATATGTCATTCTTCTACCATTACTAATCCAATAGAAATTTCCTTGTTCGGCTAAATCATTACCAGCGATCCAATAAAAATTTCTGTATCCTTTAGACAGCAAATAATTTGATAATGAAATTATTTGGTCGTTATATCTTATTGTAGCTAAGTCCGCGCCCATTCTGCGACATGTATCAACTGCTTTATGCCAATTAACCTGTAAGTTATTCAAGTAATTATATACAGATACACAAGATTGTATATGTTTGTTATAAACTTACCACATTTGTTTGTTCTATATAATAGTAGTTGTTACCAATTTTCGTAAAGGACTCAAAGCGTTGCTCTCCTAAGCAAGTATCTACATGGAATTAGTAAATTATTTTTATTTAGAATTCCATAGGTTTATATAGAAGTACTTCTTACCATCGGCTTTAGATAATCCGGAAAATGCACTGAGTAGAAGAATACACAAAGTTATTTGCAGTGAAATCATTTTGAGTTTCAATATTTGAATGATTCATAACACATTTCTGAAATATATTTATACTAACTGCTCTGATTTTTTTGAGGATTTATATAATTATAATGAACCGATTATTCTTGATAGGCTAATGCAAGTAGAAAGAAAAAACTAATTAAGGTGAAAAATGTTTATTAGTTTTAAAATTTTGAGACGATTTTATTCCATTTTTATTTGTAAGCAATAATTGACATTTAGGGTAATTATTGAAATAATACAAGTAACTGATATTACCATATTTTTTTGGATGGCAAACTATTTAATTGTTGTAAATTTCAACTGTGTAGTGATTGATAATCACTGATATTTCTAAAATACTTAAAATATATTTTACATTTAAGGTGGCACATGAATGCGAAACGTGATTCGAAGAAACAAAAAAATTGAATCTATTATTAATATTTACCGGAATACCATATATCAAACATTTTTCCACTAGGAACTAATAATCTTTTGCAAAATAATAATTAATGAACCTCTATAATAATAATAGTAATCTATAAAAGTTTCTGTAATCATTTCTTCAAAATCCTTTTAATTTTGTACAAGGGTGTTTTGTACAATGTTTGTAGTTTTTTTTTCCGTACAGATCGAAAGAAGTGACAATTCGAGCACATTTCGTTGGCATAAATGTCCATATCATCCAAACGATGAAATGTTAACGAATATTCAAGAAACTAAAGAATAAAATTTTATGAATTTGGATTTCGAATTATATACTTAATGGAAGTACAAATGATATACAAATACAAATGTTTTAGTATAAATGATCAAGGAACAAAATTAGCTTCCCCTTAATTTTTCCACACCAAATAAATTTATGGAGTGGACTATTAACATAAGTAACTTTACCATTATGAAGTACACCTTATTCGATGATAGGGGTGCAAATTTAATATCTAGTTTCTTGTCTTTGATTACTGTAGATTTAAAATATTTTTTCAATATTACACTTCTCTCTTCTTTCTACTTTTTAATTTTTTGATTTGAGCTAAAATATTTTTGTTCCTCGATAAATAAATCAGCAAAAACGTCTAAAAATACTACTGAAACCTAAAATCATGCTATATGCGAGTACTTATATATACGTTGTATCTGTTATTTACAATTGACATAATTACGAAAGCATTTTTTATTTTATTTCAAAGCTATTAATATATATACAATATTTGTAGTTAATGAAATGTAATTCAATTTATTATAAAGGTATGAAATTAGAGTCGCATGCATTTCCTTCCTTATTTTCATTCCTTTTGCTGCTAAGTCTATAGGTGATATACCATTGATGACCAGCACAGACGCCTTAGATACAGCCTTAGATATGTTTATGTGCTATTTTTAGCGAATGAGCCCAATCCGAATTTAGTCTCAAGTATTTATTTATTTTTTTCATATAGAATCTGTCTTCACATATGTTCATCTCAACTTTCAGTGTGTCTTCTCATGAATAGAAGTGTTTCTTTTTTTCAGTTGCAAGTCTTAGCCATTATCATCTAGCCAGATCTTAGTTATTAGCACAATTTGAGTTAATACGTCGTACGTCTCATCTAAATTATGTGCCCTTTTAACGCGGCTATGTTGTTAGGAAAAGCCACTAAGTTAGAATTACGTTTTAGCTATAAATCAGCAGGATTTTAGCCCCAATCCCCATGAATTTTTAGTTATATCGTATCGAAGCTCTTTCTTTTTTATTTTTTTTTTTTGATTGCAATATAGTTATCTTCAAAGCCGTTTTTGTCTATCTGTATTCTTAAACTTCTGCTATGGATAGGTATTTTAAAAAATTATGTGTTTTATTTTCTAGCATATTTCGACTATAGTATTCTGAAGGTGACTATAGAGTGTAGTCGAAATATTAGTAAAAATAATATTATATTTAATTTTTAAAAATAATTTAAAAACTGTATTATTTGAAGAAGTGATCCACTTTAAAAATAAATATAATAATCAAGAAATATAATAATATAATAATCAAGAAATAAAAACTTACATCTGAACATTTTAATGAGAATTATTTTGGTACCTTTATATTCTCTAAAAAGATCATTTTGGAGTATGACAGTTCATACTCCGCATATAAAAATAAGGCATATAAGACGTAACTAACTATATATCAGTAACTAACAAACACAACTAAATATGTAAGAGTAGCTGAACGGTGATAATTATTGCCTAACGACTATAAAAATCAGTTGATTATTGATCATTAGTTTATTTTGAGTGGCAATTGGTAACCCGACTGTCCTTTTACGAATACCCCATAGCTCATTCGGTTAACAACGGCATCCATTTGTCGGTTACTTAATTCTGAACCATAATTAGTTATTTGGAATTACTTTTATGTAGAATTCTTGTAATACACCGCAAAGACTGTGGATGACGAAGCCTTACAGACGTTATGCGCTGTTGGCAGATAGGATATAGAGGCAAATCTTAATATTGGTGGTGTACAATTCCAGTGAAGTTCGATATATTTTATAGATATAGATATCTTATAGATGTTTCATTTTGTTAACAATTTTTATGACATATTGACCTATTAACTACTATCGTTATCTGAAATGTTGTTTCCTAAGTAACAGAAATTAAAAGTGTTTTTAATATTTAAATTACTTAATTTAGTTGAATTTGTCTTGCCGTCTTGTTAGTTGCAAGACCAGAACTTTTACATATGTCTCAATTTTCTATACAGATTATCGAATCTGAATGAAGTTGTAGGACATCAAACAGATACTATGTGCGCAAATAAATCGATTAGATTGCGGCGGTGATAATGTTGATGAAGTATGTAGACTTGACGTTTTCCAGACCTTAATCGAATTGCTACTATAGTCCATATAAACGACTGAACATTGTTGATCCGAATTAAAGAATTTTAGATAATTTATAAACTTCCGAAAGATACCCTTACAATCTGCGCTGATTTACAGACAAGTCTGAAAAACTTTTCGGAGGATTGATGTAGAAGCTATAAAGTGAAAACACTGATTTGTTTAAATGCTTGATGATAATATCGCTGTTGTTAATATGGGGTATATATTTCAATCATATATAGCTGGATACAATAATTTTTTATTTTTGCAATCATTTAAACTGGTAATTCATATTTTTAACTTATTCTTTAGGATGGCTTAATATCATGTTCAAAATTGATATGTGCTTTGATAAATACCTAACAAGTTGCAGTCACTGGTGGTCATATCTGAAGAAAATGCGTAATAGAAAAATATCTCGAAAATTATGAATTTAAGCCTTTGTAACGATTTATTTGTGACGTATACTATATAATCTATATTGAAATGTTTTATCTTCTTTTCGTTTGGATTTGTTCTTTTAGAATTTTTTAATTTCTCCGGTAATGCTATGTAATATTTGTTGTCAATGATTTTTTTCTTTAAACATAGTTGATGAATATTAGACTTAGTGCTATCGAACATAAAATCGTCATATATATAAGACGTACAAGTTTTCTCCCAATCTATTGTTGTTCACAACATATGTTGATGTTTCAAACTAAAGACGCAATTTTTTATAGTGGAAATGTATCAATAAAAGTTTTAAACCTATATCCAGTATCTCCGAGGTACAAATCATTTATGCTATTTAAATTGTAGTTTTTTAATAAAAATTTATTTTTTGATATATTAGTATTTATGCAATTATAAAAAAAGTATAAAGTTTGATTTCTTTACCATTTAAGGTTCAGGCGCTTGACATATAAAGTATGCATACTTGTATGTACAACCAAAGTCATTCATACTGTATTCACCATTTCTAATCTGCAAATGGATACAATGTTCGTTACCACCAAAATTATTCGGTTCACCTGGACTCCATTTAGCATATGTCATTTTTCTACCATTACTATTCCAATAGAAATTTCCGTTTTCTGCTAAATCATTGCCAGCTACCCAAAAACGATCGTCATAACCTCTAGATAGCAAATAATTTGATAATGCAGTCATTTGGTCGTCATATTTAATTGTAGCTAAATTCGCGCCCATTCTGCGACATGTGTCGACTGCTTTATACCAATTAACCTGTAAGTTATACGAATAATTATATATAGAGTTACAAGATTGTATATATTTGATATGAATTTACCACATTTGTTCGATCTATATAGTAATAGTTGTTACCAATTTTCGTAAAGGATGTGAAGCGTTGCTCTCCTAAGCAAGTATCTACATGGAATAAGTGAATTATTTTTATTTAGAATTCCATAGGCTTATGTAGAGGTACTTCTTACCATCCGCTTTAGAAAACTCGGAAAATACACTGAGTATAAGAATACATGAAATTATTTGCAGTGAAATCATTTTGAATTTCGATATTTGAATGATTCAAAACACATTTCTGAAATATATTTATACTAACTGATCCGATTTTTTTGAGGATTTATATAATTATTATGAACTGATTACTCTTGATAGGCTAATGCGAGTAGAAAGAAAATACTAATTGATGTGAAAAATGCTTATAAGTTTTGAAGTTAAAAGGCGATAGATAAATAATATATTCCATTTTTATTAGTTAGTATAAGCAATAATTGATGTTTGGGGTAATTATTGAAATAATACGAGTAACTGATATTACCATATTTTTCTGTGTGGCAAACTGGGTTATTGTTGTAAATTACAATTGTGAGGCGATTATCGAAAAACTTGTATTTCTTAAATATTTAAAATATATTTTAATTTAAAGTGGCACGCGACTGTTAAACGTGATTCTAAGAAACAAAAAAATTGAATCTATTATTTGTATTTATTGGGATACCATGCTTCCCGCAAATGCTACTAAGAAATTAGTTTTGTAGAGTTCGAAAGAAGCAATATTTCGTGAACATTGCGTCTAAAAATATAGTTCATCCGATCTAAATAAATAAATGTTGACCAATATTAAGGACGTTTTAAAGTTTTAGTTTTTTAAGAGTTTTTTAATGTTCGATTCAGAATATTTGGGTTATTGAATGGAACTTTTAGTACAAACAAAAAACTCAGTTCTCTTTTTACTCTACACAATAACTTTATTGCCTGAGTTAATAAGTAACTCTATCATTAGATTAAGAAAAAAGTATATACAGATGTATAGTTTCTGTATATACTGGCAGGATGCTGCATTATGCTGTTTCGCATATTAAGAGTGCCGTGAGAAACTATGGGCTCTGTTTCGGGTAGCTTTAGTCCTTAACATTTTGTTTTCTTGGCTTATTATGGATGATTCTTTAATATTAATTGTACAGGTAGCTATACAATATTTATTAAATTTATTGGTAGATTAAATTAAATCATTATATGAAACAATCTTTCTCTTTTTATGCAGTTGAAGTTTCATAGTAAATTTCCATCGTTTCTCTTACAATTCTCAGAAATAGAAGAGAGGAATAATGGCATTATTGGTTTTGACGAACAGCGATACGGTTTTACTTTCAAACGTATTAATTGATGGATTGTACAAGTAATACACTTTTAAAATTATTTAGGTTATAATATCCTGAAGATAACTATAGACTGTAGTCGAAGTATTGGTGAAGATGAAATAGAATTTTAAAAAATAATCTTAAAAAAGTATTATTTCAACAACTTATCTGTTAGCAGGTTTCAATAATAAAATCCTCTACCAAATATACTAGTTTCAACTAAGGAATACAGTCACTTCAGTCATAACAGACGTCAAATTATAACTTATATCAAAAATATATAGTTTTGTCTGTGTAAATGCTGGAATAACATTAGCATGACTTTCTCCGTATTACGTTCCTAGATTAGATTCTATACACAAAAAAGAATAATATAAAAGCATGCAATAAATAAACCCTCTACAAACGGATAGTATTGAAATTTAACTATCAAAAATGTAAAATATAATTAATTAGTTAATCGTTCTAATATAACAGAGCAAGTGAATTTGTTAATAAACTTTTACAGCAAATTATAAAAACTCCAAGTTCGAACATATTGGTAAGTCAAGTATGGCTTTACGACGGCTGGCCAATGAACACTGACTCTAAGCTGCAAATTTAGTAGGATACGATTTCAATCCTTGCAGTTAAATCCTTGGTACTTGCAGTCTCAAAAAATTATTTACTAATTAATAAATATAAATATAAGAAATAATTCTAAGACACTTATGATGGGTATTAGGTAATACGTGAAATAGGCGTATTCAATTAAAAAAATTGAATTAATTAAAAATAATATAAAAAGAGTTTTTGTTGTTTTAATTCACTACTATTTAAAACCTCTCCACCAAAAATGAAAATAATAAATAAAAATTTGGATGATTAAAACAAATAATTATAAAATATTTCTGTAATTAATTTCCTTTAATGATTGAATTTAAATTAGTGCGGATATGATCCAGAATTTAATATATTATGCCGAGACATTAAGTTAACACCTAAACATATTAATAGGAATTATTCTGGCGCCATTAAAAAACCTAAAATATGGATCTTTGTTTCCTTTACAACAAAGAATTTAGGTCAATTTTAAAAATAAATACAAAGGGGATGTTAATTGATAAAAAGAATGTGTACTTCATAATCCGCATACCAAAATTTACATATTTCCGAAAAATTTACAAGGTAATCCAAATACCTAGTATCCGCCGGTAAAAATTCATAAACAAAATTCCAAACAGAATGAACATGAAAAGTTTTTTATGTGTCAATCAATGGACTAATAATACATTGGCGCTTACATTACCAAAGATACCATACACAAAGTCACGTAGCTACTTAGTCCTAAACATACCGATAATAGCTATAAAATCAGACCATTGATGTTAAGGAAAATCCATAGAAAACGTCTCAACCCATTGGCTTGTGCGTACAGTCGAATTCCGTTTGTGCTGGTGAAGAAGAAGAACCCCAACAAAAAACATGCGGAACGATATTCGCGCACAGACAATATGTGGCATGGGCACGGCCCACTATAGTCTATGAGCAGTCACGCTAAGGCCCGCACATGATGCTAATGACAGCCGAACATGATCGACCAACAGCAAACAACAAGCAATGCAGCCATAAAGTCTCTTCGAACTTAATTTTTCATTTGTTAAAATTTTTATATGTACGCCGACAGATTTGACAGAAAACTTAAAATATTTATGAAACCACTAAGCAGCATTGTCACTAGCAGTACAAACAAATCAGCGCCAAACACTAAAACCAAAGAAAATACCGATGCTAACGCAAACGCTGACGCTGACGGCGCCCGCGACGGTGGCGTCTACATCGACGTCAATATTAGCTTTGATGATCGTAAATTTTCGTGTTGATGAGCCTTCACTTCGTAACTATTAAAGTTGCGGTAACAGACACAACAAAAACACCAACAATAACAATAATAATATCAACTACAACAACAACGCTGAAAACAATTAAATAATATCGCAGGCAAATCCGTGTGCAGCTAAGAATTATCAACAGCGCTTGTACTAATAATATCGCACTGATCAATCGACCAAAATAAAATAAAACAAAAGCAAAAATAATAACAAAAAAAAGAAACAAAAATAAAAAAAAATATTTTTTAAATAGCGCCGACAGAAAACGCCCACGACAAAATGTTTGTCGTGCCGAGAATAGCTGTGATGCTGCAATATTAATAAAAGAGAACTAAGGTTTCTTGTGCTATGCGCCGCTGATGGGTTGGGAGGGTATGGCAATTGTGGTTTATGCCCCTTGCGGCCAACAAATTGGCTTAAGTTGTCATCATTGTGCTTAGCAAATGCAGTTGTTGCACCAACATTTCCCTTCGCTGCTGCGTTGTTTTGCCACGGTTGCTATATTTGTCTCTTGACACTGCTTTATTTGCCTAAATAAAGTAAGCTAATTAAATTCAGATTTGCTATAATTAATTTATTCAATTTAATTTTTTTTTGTGTCTAATTAATTTTAAAATTAGGTGGTTTGTAAATAATCTAAAAAAAGTTTAATGTATTTTATACTATTTGTGACAAATAGTTTTAATATTAATTTGAAAAAAAACTGAACATAATAACAAAAGATGGAGTGTATAGAAACGGAGTGTATAGAAGACGAAGTGTATAGAAGACGGAGTGTATAGAAGACGGAGTGTATCGAAAACGAAATGTATAGAAGACAGAGAGTGTAGAAGATGGAGATATAGAAAATGGAATGAATAGAGAACGGAGTGTATAGAAGACGGGGTGTATAGAAGACGGAATGTATAGAAGACGGGGTGTATAGAAGACGGGGTGTATAGAAGACGAGGTGTATAGAAGATAGAGTGTATAGAAGACAGAATGTTTAGAAGACGGATTGCATAGAAAAACGAGTACACAAAAGACGGAGTATATAAAAGAGAAAAATCTATAGAAGACGAAGTGTAAAGAATATCTATGAACAAAATAGTAACTGTCAACGTCTATAAGAATTTTATGTCACCGTCTGAAATTGGTTCAACAAGCAAGAAGAAAGTGAACTTGTACGAAAATGGGACTTAAGATAGAGATGTGCATTTTAAAAACCTTTTTGTTTGAGACAAAGTTAAAAGACACATGGCTGTCGAGAGGTCCCTCATCAGGAGAGGGTCTAACTAAATTTTACTGACAACTCTAAAATAAGAAGTGGTTTAAGTAGTATGGGTTTCTCGTTAGAACCAAATGAATCTACTTATTATAGGCTTCCTACTTATTGCAGTGTTTTTCACGTGAAAGTAATCACTTCTACGGTAGTTTTAGCTTGTCTGAATGTGAATGATATATTAATTGGAAATATATACCTACATACTACTAGTCGATCATGTTTGCTTTAAAGTCTTTGAGTTTAGTCCAATTTGCATCTAGGACTGTATTGCTATAGATCTAGAGATTTCGACACAGTTTAACATTTCTCTGCTCTAGGTTCCTCATCGTAGGAATATTTTCAGCAACTGCAAGGTAGACGAGCCAACTAAACGTATTGCTTCACGTTATCATTCGGAACATCTAAAAAATATGGACTAATTGTTGACATC